ACACACACACACACACACACACACACACACACACACACACACACACACGGTGGGAGAATGACTGCATGATTTGACCACCGTATGTCCACCCTGTTCAGTCCAAGCTGCCCAGTGCTCTGTGCCAGGACGACGCCTGCAGCCAAACCTACTCTACATTCCTACACACATGCAGCTCGGCAGTGCAGCAGGAAACACTGCTTTGTTCAAGTTCATTTAGAAGCTAGAATTACCGCCTGGCCATTGTATGCCCAGGCCAACCAGTCAGGTTTCAGTTTATGTTCACGTCTGTCAAAAATGTCATAATTTCATCATTTTATCCTATTAAACAATCGTGTGAAAATATCATAATTAGCGTATGAATACTTGACTTGTGGTCATAAACGTATTTTGACCACCAAATTCTAAATCAGTTCATCCTTGAGTCCAGGTGGATGTTTTACCCAAATTGGAGGAAAATCCCCTCGCAGCGTTCCTGAGATATTTTATTCATGTACGCACAAACGGACCGGATAACGGTCATGGAAGGAATAACCTCTATTTCTGCTTAGTACTTGTTGAGGAAGTCCCAGATATCCCGGGAAACTAAACGCCTTCTTGTCTGGGTTCATAACATCATCTGGAGGTGATCTGTGGATTTCATCGAGTTGTATTCGCCACACGTCGGCTGTTTACTACAGCTGTATGAACACAAAACAAACTGATTTTGCTGTGATTTAATGCAATAAACGGACAAAAAGGGATGCCGAAATAACTACATAATACATAAGTCTGAATTAATGTTTTGTTAGTTCTCTCCGGAGGACAACAAGCAAATAACTTTTAAAATACTTGTTTTCTCAATGGAGCTCGGATCGATCGGTGCTATTCTAAGCTAACATTGTAGCAGCTCCATCAACACTCAAAATAACGTCATCCAGGAGTAAATATTATTTTTATATAATACATTTTAAATATATAATTGTTTGTACATACATTTACACACATAGTTTTGTCCGGTCTCTACTATTATCAGGTATTGTAGAGTTCTGGGTCCCCATCTACAGCTACAATATTTTTTCCTCCATAGTTTCTGATTCAACAAAAAATTTCAACTCGCAAATGAGGAAAATTTGCACTTCCTCTTTGGCTTCTCTTTTCAGACATGGAGGTTCCTGCCTGGTAATAACTGGGCTGGCACACGGCCCCAAATCATGTGCAATCTCAAAACATAGCAGTCTTCCAGTTGGACAGCAGCAGTCTCTTCTTATCCAACGTCAGAGTAAAGGGACTGAAAGCATCATATCCTTCCAGTTTGTAGGAGGCGAGTGTACTGTATGTGGTTTGTAGTGTTGTGATATGAAGGAGTTTGGGCTTGCTCTTTTCTGAGGATGCAAAATCATCCTGTCATTATGGGCTGGTCGCTGTGACAACCCCCACCATCATCTCGCTCCTTCCTGTAATCTGGTCAAATGTGTTTGACCAGATTACACATAAGGATTTGACCAGTCCTTATGTGTCTGGTCAAATCTGTTTCCTCTCATCCCCTCGGGTCTGTTCTAAATGAGCAAACACACACACACACACACACACACACACGGAGAATATGAATTCACACGTTTATCTCGTCACACACACACTGTTGCGCCATGTGAGTGGCTAAATATCTCTTTGTATTCTTGGTAGAGCATTCACTGCGTCCCTGCTGTTTGTGTTCAGATTTGTGTCTATATTTGTTTATCATGGAGGTTTACTGAGACATTGTCCAGCACTGTGATTTAAAGTTGTTTAAAATCAAAAAATGTTTATAGGCTGTTTCAGACTGGCTTTGGTTAACACATCATGGATTTGGTCTTGCTTGGCACCTTCTCCATAACCACGGCTTAACTCCTGCCAGTTATACAGAGGTATTGTGACTGCTCTGCGTGGGAACTTGCTATTAAAATGCACTCAAGGGAAACCTAACTAACTCAACTGCATCTATGAAATGTTTCTATCCAACACAAAGAACTTGTACGGGAAGACAGGGGAGTCCGAGGAAAATCAGTGTGGTCTTGACCCCCCCCCCCCTGTTGCCAGTCTGTACCAGCTTATTAAGTGAAGGAGGAAAATAGTAGCGTGATGGTGTCATAGTTAAAGTACTTGGATAAGCAGCTGGTGGGTTCAATGAAAGAGGGAAAGTGGGAAATAAGTTGAAGGAAATTGGTACATAATGTGCATAAAAAGGATCAGTTGTGTTTCATCTATTCATTGCCCACAGCATGGAAGAAACACACCCCATTTGTTGGTCACATGATTTAAAACCAGATGCTGTTGGAGTGAGAAGCTGCAGACTTTTAAAAGGCCATAGTGGCATGTTTTTGGCATATACTTAATACTTCCACAAGCTCCTCTCCAGAGCCAACCATTCTCATTTTCAGGTTGACATTTATTGTTGACAACTATTGGATGGATTGCTTTTTAAATCTCGTTGTCATGTCCTCCACAGGATGGGAGGTTATGAGCTCAGTGGTGTCTCGCCTTTTCCTCTGGTGCCATCATCAGGTCAGAATTTGAACTTGTGCAATACTTTGCTTTATGATCAAATATCTGTGGAAACTGTTTGGTGAGCATGGTAAACATTATGTCAGTTTCCTGTATCTGTGTCACGTGGGTTTCACCACTGCCACGCCCCTTTAGGGAGACTAGCGGCATGTCCTGATTCTATTAACTCCAATGGAAGAAGTGAACACAGGTTATGACCGATTCTTTCGCTCCATAGTCACCAAAGAGATAGATCTTGTATATTGGACCCATTTTCAAAAGCCACATATATTCCAAACATTCTGACACTAAAATTGTTTTTAGATAGACTAAACTTTGTTGGAGATCTTTCTCTATCTCAGCAACACGCTCTCACATGTCAGTCAACTATAGTTGGCGAATGCCCTAGCTAACTTTTAATGCTAAAGATGGCTATTAGGTGTGTAATAATCTAATGTTGGCAAAAGAAGATACATGATGCAAATGTAACCCAATCTGCTTTCATCCATCCACACGACTTTCACAACCATTCTAAACGAGGTGAGGGAATGGGGTTTTAAATGTACGCTATATTAAGAATACTTTCACTTTATCTTGTCGTGAGACAGATGTTTCCGACAGTCATTTTGCCTCACAGTTCACGGGGGATACTGGTCTACCGCTGCCTCGATCGGTTGGTTGGTTTCTTTGTGTCATTGTGTGACTTTGGTGAACCCAAACTACCCAAAGTCACACTATAACACAAACTAACCCATGGCTGGCAAGAGCGTTCTGCTGCCGCCCCAGCTCTGCTCCTGTGCCGGTACACCTGTCTGTACCTCGTGTCCACCGCCACCTGTAGGTAAGATATTTATATCACATCTATATTTCCCCCGCCAACAGCAGTGGAATGAATGGCTTGGAAACTGAGCTGTTTTGCTATTGGATAGAGATAGATCTTGTATTGTCTGAGAACATGTTGACGTGTGGGTGTGTCGTGAAGGATAAACCCGACCGACCTCTCTGGGTAAGAGAAAAATCCCTCCTGTCCTCTGGAAACCTCTGTCCCAATAACCCACATGACCTCGGACAACTGTAATCCTTTGTAATGTATGTAGTAGTGTCTGGCAAGGGTGTGTGTGGGTCTCTCGCAGACACACACACACACACATTTGTTGCCATGGAGATTTATGAGCCTCACTGGACTGCCTGCTCTGTTTAGTCATTCTCCTCCACCTACTTTAGACCGAAACGCCGCGCGCACACCCACACTTCCATATTTGTATTCCACTGGAAACCCTCATGGAGCGTCAGACAACCTTGACAAGCACCGAGTTGCTGCGTCAGACTCCCCACATACCAACCACGCACACAGAGGCACAGGCGCGCGTACACACACACACACACACACACACACACACACACACACACACACGTTTAGAGTCTGGGCCGGTGAACACAGGTTCTTTTGTTTCACAGCAGTAACCGGTGCCCTGCTCCTCCCGTTCTGTTCCCATGACGTCCCAACTGGCCCGTTTTCCCTTTTTACCGACCTCCTCCTTGAACAAATAATTAAGCAGAGGGGAGGCTCTATATGAAACCTGAGGGCCCTTCCTCCTGTCTTCCTATCTGTCCATCTCAAAATCTGTTGATCCTTTTGGTGAATTTAAGTAATCTGGGCATTTTAGCAACAAGGATGGGCCTCATAATAAAGTAGAATGTGATATGTGGAAGACAAAAGATTTAAAGCTTCTAATGTGTCAGCATCTGGATGCTAAACGTGCAACGGAGCGCCAAAAGGTCTGCGCATTAAATAACACGGTCACATAAATCTTTTCGACACCGTCTAACTTTGGGACTCCCACAGTCCCGCTGATGATTTCAGCTTGCAAACTTCCAACCATTCATCAATGCATGAGCCAGTAAGGTTCAAAAGTAGTAGGAAGAAGGGGAGTGTGGATTACACCAACTCAAAGAGACGAACACAAAGAAAGAGAGGGGAATCTTGTCAATGCTGGGTTTCCCCAGAGCTGCTGAAACCATCACGCTAGACTAAGGGGTACGGGCAGAGGTTTAATGGTTTCTCCCTTCAGTATTCTGTCTCTGTCTTCCTCCCTCCTCTTCAGGCTGTCCATCATGAATGTTAACAGTGAGGACTACTAGCACAGGGTGCATTAGAGCCACCCACATGGACATATGAACTTAGTCTCACACATACACAACTCGCTGTATAACGGAGCAGTTTTGCAGTTCTCTACCTTGTCCTTGGCCTCACTCAGCTGGTCCTCCAGCTCGGAGAAGCTGAAGCCGGCCACGGTGATGAAGTCGCCGATCACGGCCACAAACTTGTCCCCACGTTCCCGCGTCCGGCTCTGCTGGTAATGCAACTCCTGGAGCGCGAGGAAAAAGAATGAAAAGTGGTAAAATGAAGGGTTGTTTATGTGCTTTGTATACTTAAAGAAGAAGGAGAAAGACAGAGAGACAGATAGTGGAGTCAAGTTAAGAGTGTCCGCTCAGTAGCTATGATTTTAAGGTTCCTCAGCTACAGCTAGTCGATCTCTGTGAAGTGTAATATGTGTATGTCCTTGTTTCTGTGTGTGGCTGCGAATGTAAAATGTGTTGCTCAATGTCAGTGTGGGACATTTAAAACACCTCGCCCCGCCGTCCATCTCTGCTCTGCTTCAAAAACATGATTACAGATGGGAGAAGAACCGATGGGAGGGAACGTAACACAAACGCATAACGACTCACCGCTTCTAGAGCCTTCAGTCCACTTTTGATATTGTGCACCTCTTTTTCCAACTCCGACAAACTGGTGAAAGACAGAAAAATAAAAACAGATATGGAGGCAGTCACTTGTCTTGTACTGCACTTCCCTACAAGTTTTGGGGTACAAACTTGCGTCCTGATTTACATTTTCAAATGTGGAAAAAAAGCAGGAATTAGAAAATAACTTAATATTAGAGATCCCATCCTGCAGTATACAGTATATATAGCATATTGTTTTGATTGAGTATTCATTGCGATGCTTTAAAGCTCATGCACTCAGGGCTTAATAAGCATCATAACAAACGATACATAGCTATGGTGAACAACAGTCGTGCACTCACTTGACTTTGGCGGCCTCTGGTACACTGCTGAAGTCGTCCTGGATGTGCAGCGTGTCATTGTAGTTCTTCTCAACGATCATGATCAGGTAGTGCAACATGGTGATGTTCCTGTTGAATCGCAGGTCCAGACAAGAGCATTTCAACAACAGTGACCTTGTAAACACCTCTTCTTGTAGAATTGCTTATTGAAAGATCATCTTGAATTAAAATATTATTTTTTATTCTACTCCTTAAATCCAAGGCTGTTTTTGCTCAGTTTTAACACTTTATCATTACTTAATTTGCAGGCTTATGACCTTCACCAGGAATTCCAGATATTGCTATTTTCAGGAAAGCAAGTTGTTTAGAAATACAGTCATATGGCATGGTGGTGGTGCTATAAACAATCCAGAACAAAGGAGCTATGTACGTATATCCACATTGATTGAGAAGACCAAGGGACATTTCAAAAGTTTTAAAAGGTGCTAAATTAGAAATTCATAGAATGTCTATGATTGAGGGATTGCCTCCACAAAGTTCTCAACATGGCGACAGCGGAGTCGATGGCTAGCAGCTAACGGTCTAATTTGTGTGTATTTTGACAATTTGAAGTCAAGGAAAATCGTGTTGCGTTAGTTACTAGCAGTCTAGAAATCTAAATTTGAGGCCAAATCTGAGACCCTAAGGAGCACATTTACAAGTATTCCGAGCAAATGTGTGAACATCTTTTCACGACAGACATCCGGAAAAAGCAAGTAACCACAGCCCCCCATGGCCCACCTGTCTATGCTGGACTTGGTGTCAGCGATCTTGTTGAGGCTGGAGACCTTGAAGCCGTAGGCGTTGCCTCTCTGGCCCTTGTTCATGAAGTTGCCGAAGGCCAGCACCACCTCCAGGATCTGAGTCAGCCTCTTGCTCTGGACCACCTCCTTGGACGCGTTCAGGATGGCTGGAGGGAAAAACGGAAAGAGAGAGAGAGAGAAGCAGCTGGAGAGATCATATAGTTGGTGATTGATGTGTGTGCACTTTGCTTAGTGCATCATTTAACCTTTTATATTATATAATGAACTGGCCTTTTTCCACTCCCCCCTTTCCATTCTGTTTCTCCACTCAGCACCCCCCATGCACACACATGGAAATGGAAGTCTCAACCGTGCGTGCCCCAAAGGCTCTCAATCCCTTCCTTCATTTCTAAAATCCTTCTTAATGATTGATCAATACAACCAAAACCAAAACAACCGGGCAGCTCAGTGGAGAAACCCATCACGTCTCTCCATCCATCCATAAAACAACAGGGGGGGGCGGGGGGAGAACAGACTTGTCTGTCTAAGTGCAGGTGGTTCCCCCTCTCCACAGAGGAAAACCTCGGTGTGAATGTGAAAACCATTAACAGAACCCATGTTGTTATCGTTAGTTTTCTTTCAGCATGGGAACCATTCCTCTGGCTCTGCTCACAGGGTTCTGAAGGGGTGCAGGAAGGTCTGGCGAGCCAACTGCACTTGTCTCATGAAATGCTTCGATTGAATGTGCTGGGTGGTCCGGGGAAATGCAGTCTCATCTAGAGTATATAAGAAAGTAACATGAATAACTAGAAAATGCATTTCCTGCTGAAAATGCGTTGGAATGCTGAAAGTTGAAATTAATTGAAAAAACATTGCTGAAAATAGACATCCAATTTAAAAAAAATTGCAAAAAGTTTAAAGATTACAAATATGAAAAGTCGTTTCACCCATCTCCTGAAAGAGCTGAACATTTTGATATTCGAATGGTTTCTGTGGCTTAAAAAATGTCATCAGTGGTGATATTTGTAGTAGTAGTAGTAGTAGAAGTTGTAGTAGAAGTATTAGTAGCATTAGAGTAAGTGGTAGCAGTAGTGATATTTGTAATAGTAGTAGAAGTTGTAGTAGAAGTAGTAGAAGTAGTAGAAGTAGTAGAAGTATTACTAGCATTAGAATAAGTAGTAGTTGTAGCAGTAGTGATATTTGTAATAGTAGTAGTAGAAGTTATAGTTGTAGTAGAAGTATTATTAGTAGTAGAAGTATTAGTATTTAGAAGAAGTAGTAGAAGTACTAGTATCCCTGGCAGAGGTCGCTGAGGTAGTCAAAAAGCTCCTTGGTGGCAAGGCGCCGGGGTGGATGAGATCCGCCCTGAGATGCTGAAGGCGCTGGACATGGTTGGGCTGTCCTGGCTGACACGCCTCTTCAATGTCGCATGGGGGTCGGGATCAGTGCCCATGGAATGGCAGACCGGGGTGGTGGTTCCCATCTTCAAAAAGGGGGACCGGAGAGTGTGCTCGAATTACCGGGGTATCATACTACTCAGCCTCCCGGGGAAGGCTTATGCCAGGGTGCTGGAAAGGAGGCTCCGACCGCTTGTCGAACCTCAGATTCAAGAGGAGCAGTGCGGATTCCGTCCCGGCCGTGGAACAGTGGACCAGCTCTTTACCCTCGCAAGACTACTGGAGGGGTTCTGGGAGTTTGCCCAACCAGTCTACATGTGCTTTGTGGACTTGGAGAAGGCTTTCGACCGGGTCCCTCGGGGGGTCTTGTGGGGGGTGCTGCGGGAGTATGGGGTGCCGGACCCGTTACAACGGGCGATCCGGTCTCTGTACGACTGCAGTCGGAGCTGTGTCCGCATTCTCGGCAATAAGTCAGACACGTTCCCGGTGGGTGTTGGCCTCCGCCAGGGCTGCCCTTTGTCAGCGGTCCTGTTCGTGATTTTCATGGACAGGATATCTAGGCGCAGCCTGGGGACGGAGAACGTCAGTTTCTGGGGTCTCGGGATCGCCTCTCTGCTATTTGCAGATGATGTGGTCCTGTTAGCCTCCTCGGATCGTGACCTCCAGCATTCACTGGGGCGGTTTGCAGCCGAGTGTGAAGCGGCGGGGATGAGAGTTAGCACCTCCAAATCTGAGACCATGGTTCTCTGCCGGAAACCGGTGGATTGCTCCCTCCAGGTGGGGACGGAGTG